GCACACGCACGTCTGTGGCTGGCTGGCGCTGGCCGTGCTGCAGCTGCGTCAGGCAGCGGAGGTGAGTCAGTGAGGAGCCCACAAATACCCTCGTACACATACTATAGACGCCATACAGGTCCACAACAGAATGTCTGGAAGATCCCTTGAAAACGTGGTCGGAAGCCACGTGCTTTCACCTGAACTTGGGGCGGACTGCTCCCCTCCCGCAACCCCCACGTATGACTTTCTTTGGAGCAATTGCTATGCCTTGCAAACTCCATCAAAACGCAACAACACGGGATTCTGCACTCACGACTTCTAGCGCCATGGACGCCCCGCGAATACGCAGCAAAAGAAATTGCACGCAAAATGCCAAGCAATCTTGCACGAACAAGCTACTGGTTCTGAACTTCATCCATGTTTTTGCAAATGGGGAGGTTGCGCCGCCACATCAACCCCCGCTCTTTTTGCAATGCAAGCGCAATACTGAAACAACCTATCAAAAGATTTGCAGTCAGATCTTCCCCCGTGTTTTGCAAAAGGGGGGAGCTGCGCCCTGCACCCAAACCCCCCCCCCCCCGCTGTTTGGCAGGGCTGCCTCCCGGTGTTTTCTTATGCAAGCAGAAGCTGCCGTTTAGGGTATTCACAGCACGTCCCGGGGCCCAAACTTGCAGCCTCATCGGAGCCCCAGATGCTGTAATTTGTGGAGGTAGCCTGTAGGAACTGCAGCTTACAGTACCGTAATCGTTCAAGACCTCCCACCCCAAGCATTTAAAGTATTCGTAGCCTCAAGACCTTTGGACGTTCTAGTTCGCAGTGCACTCTTCTAGGACGCCCTTTCAAAACTGCTCTCCTTCGCAAGCCTCGCCCAAACGAACTGCAACAGGATGCAGCTCAAACGTGAAAAGCAGCGAGCTCTGCAAGCTCAGCTGCCAAAGTTTTTTGACGAGGCCCACTTTTCGACCTTAACTCGCCTTTATTCCAAGGGTCACACGCCTGCTACATGTTTCCACACACCGAGGACGCTCTATCCTCTTTCTGCACGACGAACAGGTATGTCCCGCGCACCATAGTTTCTAAATATTGCCAAGAGTTGTCCCTACATGTCCGTTCCTTGCTTCCCTGCTAACTACCAGTAAGGTGTTGCCAAACAGGGTCTGGGGACTTGGGCGCTTCCCGCTGCTCTAAACTTGCAAAGACTTGAGTTGGTAAAATGTGAGAAATTCCCACCAAGTAAGTGTACATGGGGGTTGTCCAATATTCCTTCCCTGAAAACCACCCTCTCGCCCTGACTTTCGCGGACCTTTCACGGTCTTTCGCGGCTCAAGGAAAATCCCCAAAAGCTTCATCTGACCAAACTTGTTCTGAAAACATCTTCTTCCCCGCGCAACTTCAAATAAGATGGTGAAGGTGAAGTTGCATGAGATCAGATAGAAGACAATGCTAGCCGGCAAGGAGCCAAACCCTGCCCACGACATCGCTGAACAACACATGGCTTATTCAGGTTGTGTTATCCTTTCGCCAGCCCTTTCGCCGTGCTTTCGCGGATCTTTCGCGACCACAGAAAAGCCCTGATTTTGCTTATCATATATAAACAAGGGTTTCAGGACGGCCCCCACAAGAATTACCATGTGCAAGCTCAGGGTATGTCGGGATGCTCCTTCACACTCGCAGGCGGCCACATTGAGGACCGGTATCGACGTCGCAAAGGCTTCGGCAGGCCTTCTGAACTGGCAAAAGAAAAGCGCTACAGAGCAAGAGCGTGGCATGGAAGATACTGGAAGCATTCAACTCACATGTCGTCGGCCGAAGCTCTTCAAACAGTCATTCGCATTCCGTCACAGTGCTAACTAGCCTTCTTCGGCTGAAGTCTGCAGCTGGAATTCGCAGCGCACATCAAAGGCAAGCATCTCAAACTTCAAGACAACAGCTTGTCACGCCTAATCTTAGCCAAATTGCGATCAATCTCTTTGGGTGTCGCGAGCTGCCCAATGGCTTCATCCACCACCTGTATGATTATGACTTGACGCTTTCTTGTTGTAGACCCTTGGCCCTTGGCAACTGCAGTCTCAGCACGGCCAGTTGCTACCCCTCCACTTTCAAAGTCAGAGGCGCTTAAAACAACAACTTGCATGCGCATGCAGGAGTCAGCAGCATGACTTATGAAGCTGCCGAAGCCCTGCGGGCTGCCTCCCAGTGCTGCAAGCCGGGCCGAACGGGCAACCTTTGCTTGATTTCAGGATCAATGTGATAGCGTGCCGCTACGTGTTAGGGTGCTGTCGATGCTTTTCGTCAGGCCGTTCGGCTTGAGTATGACATCCCAGTAGACACATGATTCACCACATTTTCCTACCCGCAAAGCGAAACAAGCGCCCCATGCAGGCATGGACATTACCAGTTGCAAGGCCAAGCTGATGCTGAAAAGTCACCAGCTCCAGATCATCCCTGCGACTGTTTGTTAGGTTTTTCTGTGGTTACCAGCGTTAAAAGAAGCACCCGTGTTCTATCTGTGGGGAGTACGATTGGCCAGGACACCCTGTCAGCGTCGGGGCCTGGCACAGCGCAACGGCGCCACCAGTCCGAAGGATGAGGGATGCCACTACGGCCTGACAGGCAACAGGATCACCGCATCTTGCGCAGCTTGAATATTACGCTGGGTCGGGAGGAGCAGGCTTCTGATGACAAGCGGCTGTGAGTCAATGACAGGCTTGGGCAACACAGGCTTGTAACAGAATTGCCCAGATTGCAACAAGCACCTCTGCGACAAAGCTCATTCTTGACATGCATGTGCTGAGCATTCGCGGCAAGGCTATGTACGAGTAGCTGACAACAGGACGCGACAAAATTGTCCCGCGACAAAACAGGGTTGATCCACAGCCAGTTGAAGTCTTGTGCAGGCCATGGCTCAATAGACCCAAAACAATCGATTGTGTACGCGGGAAAATGGCCACGAGCCAAATGTGCGATAAAAACAGCCACTTTCTCACCTCATTTGAAGGGTCCAGGTACTGGGATCGATTGCATTGGGTTCTTGACAAGCTCGAAGGTCTAATATGCCACAACGATAAACATGATAAACGGCTGACGGCCGAGGGACCAAAAGCAGATCTCCCACAAGCCTCATTCTCCAGAGGATTGAACGAGCACGTGCTATACCTGCTTGGTTTTCGAAGTTTTTGTTGCTGGCATGTTGCTGACAGAGGTCTCGGTTTAAGAGTACAGCGCAAGCGCACAATCTTAATAACACATCTGTAGGCAAGAAAGACGACTCCCTCACTACTTGTAGTGCATATGATGTATAAGCTCAGAGTGTCAAGAAGAGGATCAAAGTTCCATGTAGGGAGCTTCCAAAGAAGTTTGCGGCTGCTGGTTCCATCTCGCTTGCCCTTGCGACTGAAAGAAACATGTGTTGGACCCTGCAAGCTTGCAAAGCGGGACTCTTGCAACAAGCGACAGCACGCCTTGCCCTGCTGCAACTGTACCGCTTGAACACCGAAAGCCCTTGAATGACCAAGAGTAACTGACATTCTCTCAACTGTAGAAGTCAAACATCAGCAACGCAGCTGTCGAGATGCGTCATCTGCCCACCCACCCTCAGGAGTGCTAAGCCT